TTTTTTTGACAGTCTCTCTCAGCGACACCGGAGTGATTCGATTCAGAGACTGAGAGACTGAACATTTTTATCTCTGGTTTTTCAAATGAAAAAATTACATATAAGTAATTAAAAATTGAATCATTAAGTAATTTTCCTTCGTTACTCATTTGTTTTATTATTTTATTAAAGGAATATAAATACAGAAATAATAATTCATAAATGAACATATCTTTTAAAAGATTCGTTTCATTTTCGTACTGTTGTAAATGAAGAAATACTAATATATTAATTCGTCTCATAAAATTTAATCAAAATCACGGATTTTTTAAATAAAAAACAGTTAATTCACTATTCTCTTTTTCACATTTTCTATTGCTTGATAAATTTTCCCTTTTAGTGTCCCTATTGAGGTACCAACAGCGTTAGCATTATTTAAAAATGAATTTTATTATACTCCACCAAGTTAAAATTTTTAAATTCGTGGAAATTGAAATTAAAATAATCCATCATTAAATTCTTTCGTCAGCAGAAAAGAATTTTGCAAGGTCAAGGTGAAATGTTCTATAAACGTTTATTTTATTAAAAAAAAAAATGTAAATAATCCATCATATCCAAATTAATTTTATTAATGTTGTTAAGCATAAATTTCGTTTAAATTTTATACCAATTGTTCAGTTCAACTTTATTTTTTCAATTTTTGTATTTTACGGATCTTTTATGAACTAAAAAGAAAAAGTTGAATAACAGACACAGTATCAATACATTCAATTTTTTGAATCATCAATTCAATTTTAATTACAACGTTGTAATTCAAAGACAAAAGCACCTATATTATTTTTTGAGGCCTAATTAAACGAAAAAAAAAAGGAAAAGAACGGTAATACTTCGTTTTATATTTCTTGGGACTTTTTCAAGGCGCAATCAACTATTAATGTGTATTGTGAGTAAATGTTTCATGGGTAATTAACAAAGTTGTTTAATATTTCCCGTTTGCCTCATAAACACAGCACAAATTTTACTACGTTCGTGTTGTCCTTGCCTATCGTAACCTTTATGATTCTAAACAATCAATTAAAGTAAATAATAAAATTATTTTTTATTTTCTTCTTTAAATTTTGCAACGTTCCCCCACTACTACGAAGCTTTTCCTACCCTTTCCTTCTGCTTCGCCCTCCAACCCTCCTGACTCCGCTAGGATCTCAATGTAAACTAAATCCAAGACTCTATATTTGTTCAAATTTATAATAAACGTGTTTGTATACATAGGTAAGTATAGACATACATCAAATTTTAAATAAACAAAAATTTTTCTGAATACGACCCTGTCCCACCAACTTATAAATAATGAACGATGCCTTATATCAGAGCCGGGCAAACTCTGCTCTTTTGACTCCCGAGTGCTCCTCAAGGTTAACCAAGTAGCTCCTCATTGATCCTGCGAGGGCAAACTCGGCTCTTTTGACTCCCGAGTGCTCCTCAAGGTTAACCAAGTAGCTCCTCATTGATCCTGCGAGTGTTGTGAGATGATTGTTTCCTTTTCTTATCACTTCCATTTCATAGGTGAGTTCCCTCTTCCATAGGCAAACCCAATAGCTTTGCGAACGTAGTAACGAAAATTTTCGTAGGTATTATTTAAGTTGCGAGAGTGGCTTCACTCGTTTACAGGATGAAGACAAAACAAAATTATTCATTACTGCTTACTCTCTCGTACTCATCGAAGGGTATGGAGTGACCCAAACTAACCTCATGTAGCGGCTCCTGCGAAGTTAAAGTTTGACCGGCTCTGCCTTATATAATGGGCTCCAAAGTGCGGCAAGCAAGATACAAAACACACGAAACCACAGTAACAAGTATCATTTATTGGCGTAACCTTGAGTATGTGAATTTAAATCATGATTTGCTATTTTAAATTTGCAATTCATTGTTTTTGTTAAGAATCCGAAAATATTAATACATTTTATCGGATTAATAAGTAATTTTTTTGTTAAATAAAAAAGTGAAAAGTGAATCAAAAATGGGTTTCGTACGAAAATTAGTGTTCATAATTTCCTCGATTTTCGTGTTATTTTCGGCAAAGGTAATAAAGGATCTTTTCGATGTTCCCCCTGTACCTCAACTAGAAGAACGTTGGTGGGGCGCGGGATCTCCAAAAGAAAGTAATGAAGCGATAGTGCCGTTTAAAATTGATATACCACAAAAGGTAAATTTTATTTGTAAAATATTGTACCAAATTTTCTGGTATTTATTATAACCGGCTTTCTTTATAAGCAACTTATTTTATATACCAATACACTACACAGGGTGTTCCACCTAAAGCGGTTTCTCCCATAACTCTGTTATTATACTTTTGATAACAAAAATGTTTTTATAAAACCGGTCATACAGAGTGTTCCATTTCTTCTGACCGCTACCTAACTTAATTATTTTAAATGGAATACCCTGTATATTTTTACACAGTTGGTTTCTTTGTTTAATTTTAGGTAGACATTCTTAACAGTTCTCTATACTTATCTAATTTTTGAGATATTTAAGTGTTTTTGAAAAAAAGCACGATTTCAACTGTTTGAATGAGACTAAATAGCATTTAAACCATAAAAACTAAGAACCTACGTTTAGACAGTTCGTTTCAGAACAAATTACCCTATCATTTTTGCTGAGGGTAAAATGCATTCAGAGACAGAAATATCGAAAACTTCCTTTTAACAATGTTATAAAACGAATAACATTATAAAAATTATCGGATTTTGTTTTTCACCATAATTATTATTATTAGGTATTTTATCGGTGAAAATAAGAAAACTTCTTGGAAGGGCTTTTCATCGAGCAGTTTATCAAACTTCTTCAGGGACGCAACCATCATTGGTTTTCTGTACCCATTACATACCAATATTTCTTATTTGGAATATTTTAGTTCACTAAATTGATACTATTACAAAAGTAGTTTTATTATGTTATAAAATTCTTTATTTTATTGATCACTTAGATATTGGACGATTTACAATTGCGTTTAAAAAATCATAGACCATTCGTCCCACCATTAGAAGGAGTTCAACAGCAGTATGGAATAAATACAAATCTTCTCATTGAAATTGTAGACTTTTGGATAAACAAGTACAACTGGCGAGAACGCGAAAAGTTTCTGAACAAGTTTCCGCAGTTCAAAACTGAAATACAAGGACTCAATATACATTTCATTCATGTCAAACCATCATCTTCATTACCAAAAAATATACGGGTCTTGCCAATAATATTATTTCACGGGTGGCCAGGATCCGTCAGAGAATTTTATGATGTAATTCCTCTTCTAACAAAGCCACAAAGTGGAAGAGACTTTGTTTTTGAAGTTATTGTTCCATCTTTACCAGGGTACGGTTTCTCCGACGGTGCATCGAAACCAGGATTTGGGCAGGCCCAAATGGCGCAAATATTTAATAAATTGATGCATCGATTAGGTCACAAAAGGTACTACATCCAAGGAGGCAATTGGGGTGCTGTTATTGTTAGCATCATGGGCGTATTGTACCCGGAAAACATACTAGGACTGCACTCTAATGCGTGCAGTGCAACAAACACTGCAATAACAACAATACAGTTGCTAATAGGAAGCGTTTTTCCTTCTTTAATAATTGAAGATGACAACGAGAAATTGGTATACCCCTTGGCCGAAACGTTTTGGTTTATGCTAACAGAATCAGGGTATTTGCATATTCAGTCTACCAAACCAGATACCGTTGGTAAGTCGATTCAAAAATTGTTCTGTTGCAACCTTTAGTCAAGCAGATCAAATACCGGAGAAGTAACTTAAACAGTCCGTTGAGAGATGTGCGATTGTGCATCAATTTCTTTCTTATCTGTACGCGTCATACGTCAAATCGTATGCGCACTACCTTACTACGCAACGAACCATCGAGCAGAATTTATTGACGCTCTTACGCGGCGCACAAAGCGATACGAAACCCGATGTAGTTTAGGCTCCTGTCTCTAATCTTCTTGACTTTAATATTGCTTCAATTTATAAGTTATTTTGGATAGCCTGAGAAATTCTAATTGAAAAGTTCGTAGAAGGTAGCAAATTTAGATTCAAATACTCAAAGATAATAGGATTTTTATAAAATATAGGGTATCCTTAATTTATAATGATGAAAACAAACAACTATTTTAGGAGTTGGTCTAAATGATTCCCCGGTCGGTTTAGCCGCTTACATTATTGAAAAGTTCTCAACGTGGACCAACAAAAATTGGAGAGATAAAGAAGATGGAGGTCTTCAGCAAAAATTTACGTACACTGATTTGCTTGATAACGTCATGATATACTGGGTGACCGGAAGTATAACGACATCAGTGAGGCTTTACTCCGAAAATTTCAACAAACAGCAAACGTCTCTAAATTTAGACAGGCAAGTATTTAATCTAACAGATAATAAGTAATAGCCCAAAAAGTTTGCAATAAATTAATTGGTTTGCAAACTATCATAGTTTTAAGAATTGATTGAAATACTGAAAATAAACTAGATATTATAAAATCGTTGTCGCATTTATTATACCTAGTGTTTAGGGATGTCATATATTTTTTATTATTTTAGCATTCCTGTAACAGTACCAGCAGCTTGTGCAAAGTTCAAAAACGACCTAATTAATCTTCCAAATAAGGTCTTAAGGTCAAAATATGTAAATTTAGTGCAATTAAATTACTACAATGATGGAGGCAATTTTGCAGCTTTCGAACTACCTCAAATTTTAGCAAATGATGTGTGGGCCGCAGTTACCAAATTCGAAGAAATCAACAAGGGAACAAATACAAACAAAACATAACCTTTTATACATATTTTTATACGCAATCTTTGAAAATAAAATATTATAAATATAAGCAACGAAGTAGATTATTTTCTTGAAATTAGATTACGTAATAATACTCCATAATAAAAAAGGAACATATAGATTTGTGAAAACAAATTATTAGTAATGTAATAAGCGTCGAAAATATAATAATTT